CTACACTGTAGGAACAATGCAGTTTGACACCACATTAACTGTCATGGCTCCATCCTACAGAAGCCTGGGGTTTGTAGTTTCATGAGGCACCACCATTCTTGAACAGAGAAGGTTAAAGACCTGATAAAACTACATATCCCAGGTTTCCATAGGATGGAGCTACAGCACTTGATGTCAGATTGCATTATTTCTACTACCAGTATGTAGATCAATGATTCCGAAACTCTGATCCTCCATGTTTTTGGGCTTCCAACTCCCAGAAATCCCAGCCAGGTTTGCCAACAATATCAAGAATTCTGGGAGCTGACTTATAAAGCATCTGGAGGACCAAAATTTGGGAACCACTGGTATAGATGCATCCTTCTCAGGAGGCATGCTTAGGACAGCCAGGTAGTGGCTTTCTAAACCTATGCTTGCTTACTTGAAATTAATCCCACACACACCCATATCCAATGGGACACAAGACATTCGTACTGTTGCAGTTTACAGCCCGATCCACAGAACACACTGCTTTCCTGGATCATGTAGCTTTGTCCATTTCTTTGGATTTTAGAAGGGAAAATTCCAATAGTTTCTGGGGAGCGTGTGCTTCAAGGCTGGAGTTTCATGGCTCTCAAAAGTTGACCTGATGTGCAAAATTTTAGAACACTACCATTACCTTTGATAGTGACCCTGGTTCTTTAAAACAGACACTGCAGGCAGAAATTCTACCACTGCTGCTCAGTTCCTCTGTCTCTCCTCTTCCCCCAATTTCCAGGTTGGGAAATACTTCAGCTGTTGAAATAGCAACACCTGTTAATTCTCCAGGAACCTTGAAGTAAAATAAAATAACCCCAACTGATAGCATTCTCATGACAAACCATTTTTGCATGATCCTTGCAGTGGATCTGAAGCAGGGCTCAGTACTAGATGGTGCTTTCAATTAAAAAAGAGTGCCTTTGAGCATGTGCTGAGTGTATTTCCCACACTACTAAGAACACCTAGCCAAACTTGTCAGACCAGTGGTCAGGATTTATAACCCAGAGGGCAGAGTTCCAGGCCTTGTTCAAATTTCATAAAGAGGCAGTGTCACTGCAACATCTTAGCTCTCTGCTTTCCAGACTTTAATTTGGATACACAGTGTGAGAGCTTTACCAGAAAATGAAAGAAAGAGCAGCATACTTTAAAAGTTCATGAGGTGACCTTAGTAAGATCAAGTAATTCTCAGTCTAACCTACCCCACAGGGTTGTTTTAAATCCGCTTGCCTTTGTTTCTCTACAAGACTTTCTGTGTTTTTAATTGCTGACTGGCACATCGAGATTAAGCAGATAAAATTCCCTCCTATGGAGCGAAATGCTGAAGAAAGCACTAGGAAAATGCTTGTATATACATGTGTGAAAGCTGGAAGATACAAGCCAGCCTTCCCCAGACCAGTGCCTTCCAAATGTTTTGGACAACATTTCTCAATATATTAGGGACTACATATGTTAGAATTTTTGCTGGGGAACAAATTCCTCCATATTATTCATTAGATTTTCCCAGAATACCGCACCATGAATCTGGAGGAACATTCAGTTCTGTACTTCTGCAATTTGCCTAATGTTGATTTTAATTAATTTTCACCAAATTTTATTGTATTTAGCATACATGCCAAAACATGCATGATTTTCTGAGAAGGGGAAATTATGTATACTTGCAAAAACTGTGAAGCAAATCTTATGACAACAGCAAAGCTACACAGCACAGTCCTATAGTATATTCGGAAGTAAACTCATGACTTCCATGGTCATTACTTCCAGGTAATTGTGTATTCCTGTAATTTCACTCTTGGTCTCTTGTATGTGTGCATGTACCAAATCCTACACACACCCACTCCCCCCCAAGTAGTCTAATTCTACAAGGCATGGTTCATTTTATGGTTCCTTTTACATACAACTGCAAAACCCATAAAAATACTGTGCTTTGAGGTTTACTGTATGTATACACATATAAACATATGCTCAAATAAACCTCCTTGGTCTCACTCTTAGCTAATTAACCAAGTGCTGAAATACTTTCTGATTATTGGAGGTCCCTGAAATATGGTACACCCAGAACCCAAGATGCTGTTTAAAAATCTAGAAACACTTGCGGTATTAATTAGAAGAATATTAAAAAGTAATATGTGTATTTTTGTATGTGTATGTATGTGTGTGTTTGTGGTTAAAGGGAAATCAGAAGTGTAGCACTAAGTGGTAATGGTATTCCTAAATCACTTGGGAAATTCATATTTTGAATACATGTAACTCGAAGCACGCTGATTACCAGAATGTGTGAAGTTACTTTAATAATTAGTTTACTATTGTTATTACTTTAATAATTAGTTGCAGTTATAATCTGAAGAAAGTAGTTATTATAGTTACACTTTTTAAAATAACTGATTTTGAAAAATAACTAATTTGTTGTTGCGTGCCTTCATTTCTGACTCTAAGGCAACCCTACCACAGGGTTTGCTTGGCAAGATTTGTTCTGAGGTGGTTTTTAGCTTCCTCTGAGGCTGAGAGAGCATGACTTACCCATAGTCACCCAATGGATTTCCATGGCTGAGTGGGAATTTGAACCCTGATCTCCAGAGTCCTAGTCCATTGTTCAAGCCACTATACCACACTGGCTCTGCTTTGAGGTCATTATTTAGGAAAAAGCATCTATTACAAGGGTGAGGACAGTGTGGTCTTCAGGTCACTTGTGCTCTTTGTGGTCCTTTGTTGTGTTCTCTGAAGCCCCTCATCTTCTCCTGTTTTAAAAAAATGTTGAACACATGTACATGGCTACACACACAGAATCACAAACCATTGGTTTGTATCTCCTTGGTCCTTGCTGCAGCCCCGCTTAAAACCATGAAAAATGACTGACTGCATTTAGCTTTTGCTGTGCTGGCAAAGAATGCATTTAGAGGAATGCTATACTATAATTACCAAATGTATATGGAAGTTGTGTACAGAACGCACACTGTGTGTGTTGATACATACAACGAGCATGCACATTCATTTGGAGAGAACAGAAAGCCACATAGTGATCTTCTGCTAAATCTAAAGAAGCTTCCCCTTTCCAAAGGCTGCAGCAACGGTTTGCCTTTGTATGACAGGTTTTCCTGAGTCCCTCTGAACTTCACAATAGCTCATATATATAATCTATTCTTTTCATGGAGCAGGTTTTGCATTGACTTGTAGCTGATGAAGAAACTGCAGGAACAGCAGGCCCCAGTGCTGGCAAGCAGACAGGTCACTGCCTGGTAGCTGAAGGTGTATGCTATGGATTTTATAAACAGAGGCTCCTGCTGCTCATACCAGCTGCTCCCTGAGTGAAGAAGGGAAGGGAGGGGATGTGAAAGTGGGTCAGGAATGTAACTAGACTCTATCCACCTCTCTGCTCTCTCAGACACGCATACACTCTCCAGTGCCTTAGCAATGGAAAGCACGCACTAGATCATTGATGTCCCCCAACCACAGGCTGATGGTTACCAGGGGATGTGTTTCCCTGTAACCCTTGGAGAAAGGGAGGGGTGTGATTGCCTTGACAACCAAGTTTAGCTTGGATGCAATGATGCAGGAAATATCCCTTAGGTGAGCTTTTTGAAATGGAAGAGAAAGCTGAGAGTGGTACAGTCCCAAAGCAATATAGACATTTGAATGCAGGCTGCGTTCTGCCTAGGAACTTTTCCCCACTGGGTTTTAATATATATATATATATATACCGGTATATATATTTTAATGAACCACTTTCCTGGCCGTGGTGGCCTAACCTGAACATATTTTGCAGAAATGAAGGTGCCGTTCTTCTTGTGCCCTGTAGACACACCCTTGAAGTTGGCTGATTGAACACATTACAGTTCTGGGCCTTGAACATTTCTTGAAAAGCTGGTTAGGCAAATGGACTCACATCAGTTGGAAGGAAAAACAAAACAAAATATAAAGTTGGAAAGTGGCTCTCCGGTTTAATGCTACATGGCGTCTTTTGAGGTTTGCAAGAAAGATTCTCAGGTTAATGGCAAGAGTACTGAAAATAGGTTGGAGACACCTAGGTGAAAATCCTCAAGCATACTCACTCCAATTAGCTGTGTTGCTAGTTGACGGTGTAATCCTATACATATTTTACTTGGGAAATAAATCCTATTATTTTCATTTGCAAATGTATAAGATGGTAGTGTTGGACCATTATATCTCAGCTTAGCCAACCTCATTGTGAGAACAAAAGTGGAATTAGCTATGTAGGCTGCCCCAAGCGCCTTGGAGACCTTTCATGCTATACGTTTCTAGCATTATGGTTCCACTTTAACTGCTATGGCAATACAGGATCCTGGGATTTGCAGTTTAGGGAGAGGTATTAAAATTCTCTGCCAGAGAACTCTAGTTCCTCAACAAAGACAAAAGGAGGGTTCCATAGGATGCAACTACAGTAGTTAAAATGAAATATAGCACTATAATTATGTGATATAAGATATGACACCTTTAAACATTTTAAGAGGGAGAATCTATTCTAGAATATTTGTGAAATTATGCATGGTTTGGAAAAGAAATATGGATACAGAGCAGCCTTGTACCAGATCAGGTTGTTTCAGAAATGCAAATTATGACAGACAACTGCTCTGATAGGGTTTTAACTCACAGACCTGCCTGAAGATGCCAGGCTTTCAACCTAAGATTTTCTTGATCTTTGACTGGCTACCCAATAAAGCCATATCTCTCAAGTGCCAGTCCAACATTTTAACCAATATACCAGACCACGTCAATATTAGTAATACTCCTTATTAGTATCAGTCCAATTACACAGGAATCAATCCCATTGCTCTATTGCTTGCTATTTATTTTAATTTACTATGGTATCCTTAGATTTTTCCCCCCGTTAGACCAGTGATTCTATTCTCACATCATTTGTACTTATGGTACATGATGGATGGGAAATTCAATGAAGCATTCTTCTGCTAGACAGGTTATTAAGAACGTGTCCTGTCATTTTTAGGTTTCCAGAGACAGTTAGTAGGAAAAAAGCGCCAGTCTGATGGCACCTTAAAGTCGTCGTTGCTAACTGTGGTCTTTCAGATGTATTTGGACTACAGCTCCCATAATCCTTCACCATTGGCTATGTTGGCTGGGTAAGTGAAGGTGGCTGTGGTTCCAGAGCAGTTACCTAAATTGGCCTCTTTGTGCTGATGTGTGGGAAATTTTAAATTATGAATTTTTCAAGTGTGGATTATTGTTTTAATATGTTTTTCTATGTTCTTTTAAATGATGTGTTGTATTTTAATCTGTTGTTCCCTGCTTTGATCCATAGAGAGATGCAAATAAGAAATGATGATGATATAATATAATATAATATAATATAATATAATATAATATAATATAATATAAACAATACAGGTTGAGTGTACCTTATCCAAAATGTTTGGGACCATCAGTGTTTTGGATTTGGGAATTATTATTTTGTTTTGTTTTGAATACCTGTATTTGCATATATGTACATATTTTGAGATAACTTGGAGATGGGACCCAAATTTAAACACTATATTAATTTATCATATACATCTTATACACATAGCCTGAAGGTAATTTTATACAATATTTTTAATAATTTTGTGCATGAAACAAAGTTTGTGTACATTGAACCATCAGAAAACAAAAGTGTAATTATTTCAGTCACCCATGGAAAAACATGTTGGCTTTTGGAATAGTTCGGATTTTGGAATTCCAGATAAGGGAGACTCAACTTGTAATAATAATAATAACCAATGGCACAGAAGTTAAACAGCACAATAGACAGCAGCACGAAAACCTCACTGTCTGAATTTGGACGTAACCAACAGCCTGATCCTCTGCATTTTTGCACAGTGAATCAAGCAACACACAAACTACCAATAATAGAAACACCTGGAGATTTAGGAGTTGTGTGGGGAAATAAGAGGAAGCAAGCACTAGCTTGAGTCCTGATTTTGAGGGAAATAACACCTTTTTTTTCTATTTAGCACTTGGTCCTTATTCATCTGGTCCTGACATTATGGCTTGTGGGAGCTGTAGGCAATAAAGAGATCTAGAAGGCTACAGTTTACAGTTACCTATGGCTGCTTTAAGAGACTAGCAAATTTATTTTGGCATTAGCTTTCTTGGCCAATAGCCATTTCTGTTTTGTAAATGACCTCTGTTAATAATGTAATTGTCACTACACTTTTAGCATATTGTTTTCCTATCATTTCAGTGACACATGTGCCACAATATAGAAATATACGGTATATGTTTGTACCTCAGGGCAGTACTGGAGGGTGGGGAAATGTAGAAAGGTAAGGGACCACATTAGCCTTCCCGAAAGACCTTGGAGAGCCACATATACCCCACTGCCACCTACAAAATAAATAAATAAATAAATAATAAAATAAAATAAACGAAAGTGACCCAAATGCCTCCCAGGGACTGTGAGGAACACTTTCTCACGTTTTTAGGCCTCCCTGGGCCATCCTAGGGCCCGGAGAGGCTGTTTTTAAAACAACAGGAACTGAGTAGAAGTCACTTCTTTTCACTTCTTATTTTCAAAAAGACTTCTCCTGGACTTAAATGGACCCAGAGTGCAAAAAATTATAGTGAAAATGAAAATGAAAATTAGAGGGTATTGTGGGGCAAGAAATTATTTTGGAAATATTTATTGACCCAAGAGGGGGTTTAAAAATGCCCCAGGGCCTGCAGGTACCCCACTTTGACCATCCTTGACTGAATTAATCCAGTCTTAAAGTTGTAAGATACTGAAGTTTATGCCCTAACAAACGTACTAATCTTAAAAAGTGACAAGACTGTTGTCATTTTCCAAATGTTTCTGTTCCTGAGCATTTCAGATTAAATTGGTTAGCCTCCAAACTGTCCTGTGAGACTGCTTAAGTTTGTTCAAACATCTACAGTAGTTTGCTTAGCATTGGTTACACCACTACAAGATGGAATTGTATGAACATTTTCCTGTGAGTAAGTGCTCCTAAATACTGTAAAAGTCTTGAATATTTCTACATAAGAAAATTGCACTGTATAATGCATAGTTGGGTTTACTGAGAGCTTTGAAACATTATTTTTATAGAAAAGTGACACTGACTTGTTGATCCTGGTAATGTAGTTCAAAAAGTGACATTTCAAATTCTGGCTTTATCTCTGTTCATCCAGTTAATATAAAAAATTAAGAACGTCTTACATGCTGTGAATAATATTGTTCAGTACAAGAGCTGGCACTCCATATCTGTGGATTCTTTATCAATGGATTCAACCATTCATGGCTTGAAAATATTCTAAAAAGAGCAAACCTTGATTTTGTTATTTTATATACAGGAGGCCATTTCACTACACTATTATTTATAATAGGACGAGCATTCAAGGACTGTAGTATCCACGGGGTCCTGGACCCAAACCCCAGTGGATACCAAGAGCCCACTGTATTTCTTCATAATACTGAGAGAGGAAAAAATTATACATGCACCCTTCTTCATCATATTAAACTTTTGGCTATATTTGTTGCTTTCTTTAAATCTTTCTTGTGTATCTTTGTACTGTCTGTTTCACTTCTGTAATGTTTATAATTATATGCACAAAAACTAATTTACAAATAAGGTTCCTGCCTTTTAGTCCTACTAAAAGATGAATTATAT